AGTACCCCAAATGTCCCCATGCCACCCCCAAGCATCCCCAAAAGTCCCCATGCCACTCTCAGGCATGTGAATGCCATCCCTAGGCACCCCAAAATGTCCCTGTGTCTCCTCCAAACATCCCTATGACACACCCAGACACCCCAAAATGTCCCCAAGTCACACCCAAATGTCCCAAAAAGTCCTTACACCAAGCCCAAACCTCCCCATACCACCCCAGGCACCCCCATATCTCCCCACACCACCCCCAAAGCACCCCTACACCCCTTCATTTAAAAAATTTACCCTGAAATGTCCCCATTCCACCCCCAAATGTCCCCATGCCACCCCAAACCACAGACTTGTGCCCCATGTCCCATCCCCCAGGGCCACGGGGGGTCTCCACGGCACCTACCAGGGGGGCACCTACCAGGGGGGCCCCCCCGGTGCCCAGCTGTGGGGTGGGCGCAGTGGAGTACATGTAGCTGAAGAGACGCTCGATCTTCCGCAGGGGGACCCCCATGCCCCGGTCACTCATCTACGAGACACCATGGGGGGGGGTGACAACCCCTCTCCATCCTCCCCATTAAGTGTCCCCCAGGCTTGGGGACCCCTCTATGTTCCTCACGCACCTTGATGGAGAGGTCCTCCTGGCCCAGGGCCACCATCACCTTGATGGCCGGCAGCCGTGGGCTGTTCTCGTGGCTCTCCACTGTGGCTCGCATGGCGTTCTGGGGGCACGGAGATGGTTGGGGTTTAGGGGACCCACTCATAATGTCCTGACCCCCATGACGGGGCTGGGGTTACCTTGAAGAGCTCGAAGAGCATGTGGTAGAGATGGGAGGGGACGTAGACGATGCTGATGGGCTGCTGGGAGTTGCTTGCTGTGGGGAGGAGAGCGGCCATCACCATCACCATCGGCCATCACCACCACCACCCGCTGAGCCAGAACCACCATCATCACCACCATCATCACCACCACCACCATCATCACCACCACCACCATCATCATCACCACCACCATCATCATCACCACCACCATCCTCACCATCATCACCACCATCATCACCCTCCCAACCCCAAACGAACCACCAGAGAATCCCCCCGCCCTGGGGACTCCTCAGCCCAGTCTCACCGTTCACCTCCTCGATCTCCAGGTCGGGCGATGCCATGTAGTATTTGTCACACAGGAGCTTGGCCATGTTGTAGGCATCTGTGAGGGGGGAAGAAGAGGGGTCAGCACCCCCAGAATGAAGGCAGGGGAAGGATTTGGGGACCCTTTTCTCCTCCTGGGTCCTCTGGAGTGACCCCAAAGCACAGGGGCTTGTGACCCCTTGGCTGAGGCCAGCCCAAACTCATGACATGAATGGCCCCAAACAGGCAGATCCCAGGGTGATGGGGCAAACTGGGGGGGACTTTCAACTGCCTGCACCCCCCCC